TGGCCAGACTTATCAAAAAGAAAAGAGAAAGGACCCAAATAAATAAAATCATGAATGAAAGAGGAGAGATCACAACGAACACCAAAGAAATACAGACAATTATAAGAACATACTATGAGCAACTCTACGCCAACAAATTTGACAATCTGGAAGAAATGGATGCATTCCTAGAGACATACAAACTACCACATCTGAACCAGGAAGAAATAGAAAGCCTCAACAGACCCATAAGCAGTAAGAAGATTGAAACAGTCATCAAAAATCTCCAAACAAACAAAAGCCCAGGGCCAGATGGCTTCCCAGGGGAATTCTACCAAACATTTAAAGAAGAACTAATTCCTATTCTCCTGAAACTGTTCCAAAAAATAGAAGTGGAAGGAAAACTTCCAAACTCATTTGATGAGGCCAGCATCACCTTGATCCCAAAACCAGACAAGGATCCCATCAAAAAAGAGAACTACAGACCAATATCCTTGATGAACACAGATGCAAAAATTCTCACCAAAATACTAGCCAGTAGGATTCAACAGTACATTAAAAGGATTATTCACCACAACCAAGTGGGATTTATTCCAGGGCTGCAAGGTTGGCTCAACATCCGCAAATCAATCAATGTGATACAACACATTAATAAAGGAAAGAACAAGAACCATATGATACTCTCCATAGATGCTGAAAAAGCATTTGACAAAGTACAGCAACCCTTCCTGATCAAAACTCTTCAAAGTGTAGGGATAGAGGGCACATACCTCAATATTATCAAAGCCATCTATGACAAACCCACCACAAATATCATTCTCAATGGAGAAAAATTGAAAGCTTTTCCGCTAAGGTCAGGAACACGGCAGGGATGTCCGTTATCACCACTGCTATTCAACATAGTACTAGAAGTCCTAGCCTCAGCAATCAGACAACAAAAGGAAATTAAAGGCATCCAAATCGGCAAAGAAGAAGTCAAACTATCACTCTTTGCAGATGATATGATACTATATGTGGAAAACCCAAAAGACGCCACTCCAAAACTGCTAGAACTTGTACAGGAATTCAGTAAAGTGTCAGGATATAACATCAATGCACAGAAATCAGTTGCATTTCTCTACACCAACAACAAGACAGAAGAAAGAGACATTAAGGAGTCCATCCCATTTACAATTGCACCCAAAACTATAAGATACCTAGGAATAAACCTAACCAAAGAGACTAAGAATCTATACACAGAAAACTATAAAGTACTCATGAAAGAAATTGAGGAAGACACACAGAAATGGAAAAATGTTCCATGCTCCTGGATTGGAAGAATAAATATTGTGAAAATGTCTATGCTACCTAAAGCAATCTACACATTTAATGCAATTCCTATCAAAGTACCATCCATTTTTTTTAAAGAAATGGAACAAATAATCCTAAAATGTATATGGAACCAGAAAAGACCTCGAATAGCCAAAGGAATATTGAAAAAGAAAGCCAAAGTTGGTGGCATCACAATTCCGGACTTCAAGCTCTATTACAAAGCTGTCATCATCAAGACAGCATGGTACTGGCACAAAAACAGACACATAGATCAATGGAACAGAATAGAGAGCCCAGAAATAGACCCTCAACTCTATGGTCAACTAATCTTCGACCAAGCAGGAAAGAATGTCCAATGGAAAAAAGATAGCCTCTTCAATAAATGGTGTTGGGAAAATTGGACAGCCACATGCAGAAAAATGAAATTGGATCATTTCCTTACACCACACACGAAAATAGACTTAAAATGGTTGAAGGATCTCAATGTGAGAAAGGAATCCATCAAAATCCTTGAGGAGAACACAGGCAGCAACCTCTTCGACCTCAGCCGCAGCAACATCTTCCTAGGAACATCGCCAAAGGCAAGGGAAGCAAGGGCAAAAATGAACTATTGGGATTTTATCAAGATCAAAAGCTTTTGCACAGCAAAGGAAACAGTTAACAAAACCAAAAGACAACTGACAGAATGGGAGAAGATATTTGCAAATGACATATCAGATAAAGGGCTAGTGTCCAAAATCTATAAAGAACTTAGCAAACTCAACACCCAAAGAACAAATAATCCAATCAAGAAATGGGCAGAAGACATGGACAGACATTTCTGCAAAGAAGACATCCAGATGGCCAACAGACACATGAAAAAGTGCTCCACATCACTCGGCATCAGGGAAATACAAATCAAAACCACAATGAGATATCACCTCACACCAGTCAGAATGGCTAAAATTAACAAGTTAGGAAATGACAGATGCTGGCGAGGATGCGGAGAAAGGGGAACCCTCCTACACTGTTGGTGGGAATGCAAGCTGGTGCAACCACTCTAGAAAACAGCATGGAGGTTCCTCAAAATGTTGAAAATAGAACTACCCTATGACCCAGCAATTGCACAGCTGGGTATTTACCCTAAAGATACAAACGTAGTGATCCGAAGGGGCACGTGCACCCGAATGTTTATAGCAGCAATGTCTACAATAGCGAAACTATGCAAAGAGCCTAATGTCCATCAACAGACGAATGGATAAAGAAGATGTGGTATATATACACAATGGAATACTATGCAGCCATCAAAAGAAATGAAATCTTGCCATTTGCGACGACGTGGATGGAACTAGAGGGTATCATGCTTAGCGAAATAAGTCAATCGGAGAAAGACAACTATCACATGATCTCCCTGATATGAGGGAGAGGAGATGCAACATGGGGGGTTAAGGGGGTAGGAGAAGAGTAAATGAAACAAGATGGGATTGGGAGGGAGACAAACCATAAGTGACTCTTAATCTCACAAAACAAACTGAGGGTTGATGGGGGGAGGGGGGTTGGGAGGGGGGGTGGGATTATGGACATTGGGGAGGGTATGTGCTATGGTGAGTGCTGTGAAGTGTGTAAACCTGGTGATTCACACACCTGTACCCCTGGGGATAAAAAGATATTATATGTTTATAAAAAATAAAATAAAAAAAAATAATAAAAAAAAATAAAATTGAAAAAAAAAAAAACAAAGCAAAACAAAATTAATAGGGTTAAGGAAGTTCCAAATAGCCACAGCAACAACAATTTGAGCAAAAAAATAAATAAATAGTATTGGGTTTGTAACACAAAATAGAAAATAAATATCTATGAGTCCATCATGATAGAAATGAATGAATGAATGAATGAATGAATGAATGAATGAGAGATAAATTTTCCATACAGAAGAATTCTAAATAGTTCATTTACCCTTACGGACTTGAATTGCAACCCCCTAGTCCTTAAGTGTAGGCTTCATAGGTTGCCTTTCTTCTAAAGAATATAGTATAGAAAGGGAGAAGAAAAAAGAATAACTTTATGGCAGAGTAAAATGACACACTCTACTTTAAACCAGACAATCAGAGTTAACATCAAGAATGGTAAGTCATGTTGACAGGGCATACACTTGATATAATGTGATGAAAATATCACTTAACTTCTATTGTCTTCCTCCCCAAAACACATTTACTCCAGTCTAATCATGAGAAAAACATCAGAAAAATCCTAATTGGGGGACAGTCTACAAAGTATCTAATTAGTGCTCCTCAACACTGTGAAGGTCATTAAAAACATGAAAAGTATAAGAAGCTGTCACAGCCAAGAGGAGACATGCCTACTGAATGCAGTGTAGTAAAAATAAATCAAAATGGGTTAAAGACCTAAATGTGAGAAATCCTAGAAGATAAGGGGTTATAGGAAGTAACCACTTTAAAAAAAAAAAAAAAAGGAAGTAACTACTTTGACACTGCTGTTGCAACTTTTTTCTAGCTAAGTCTCTTAGAGCAAAGGAAACAAAAGCAAAAGTAAGCTATTAGGATTACATCAAAATAAAAAGCTTCTGCACAGCAAAGGAAAAATCAACAAAAAATAAAAGGCAACCTATAGAATAGGAGAAGATATTTGCAAATATCTTGACATATCTGATAAAGGGTTAGGATCTAAAATATATAAAGAACTGAAACAACTCAAAAAACAAATAATCTTGGGGTGCCTGTGTGGCTCAATCAGTTAAGCATCTGCATTCGGCTCAGGTCATGATCCCAGGGTACTGGGATCTAGTTCCACATCGGGCTCCCTGCTCTGCTTGTACCAGCCCCTCCAAGTATTTCAAAGGACATTCTAACAATACGTCCTCATGGTCAAATAGTTTGTAAATTATTTAAAGTAAATTATTATTGTTCCATTATTCTTCTTAAAGAGTGACAGCAAAATAGCATAAGCTTTAGGTTCCATTAAACCTTATTTGATCTATGGCTTTCAACTTCGGAATCATATAAATGTTTTACATGATCCCCCCCAAAAAAAAGAACCAACAAAGTTTCAATTATTATAATTTGATCACCCCACATCCTTCATTCTGGAACATTACAGATCAGTATGCTAATGGAAAGCAAAATATCACCCATGTTAAAATTGTCAGTATAAGAATATAACTCTATGTCCCCATCTTCCCAAACAGCATCATTTTTTTTTTACTAAGCAATTAGTGAAAATTTTTAAATCCCTTTACCAACCTCTTAATTGATATTCAAATGTGATTATTAAATAAATTGTACTTCATGATTATTCTTAGGCATGTACTCAAAGGAGAAAGAAGTGAAGGGATGAAACAGGAAGAAAGAATACTGAACCACAGTTCAGAAACCCGAGTTCTAGTCCAGGATCCACCTCTTCAACGTCAGGATAATTTTGGTCAAGTCATTAAGCCTCTGAGATCCTTCATTTTTTTTCTCATTTGAAAAACTGATACATTAAAATGCAAGCAAACAACTATGCTTTATATTTATATGTATTTCTCATAGATACGTTTGATGTTACTTTTTTCCCCATCAGAAACTGATTTTTTCCCAAAGTAATAAATTCTCAAATATCACATATGAGGACCTGAAAGATAACTGACCTGGGAAAGAGAGCATCACCCGCTCTGACTACAGAATAATACCCCATTTGTGTCCATGCAGGAAAGTATAGTGATGGCTGCTTACCACTGGTTCTTCACTGATGAGAAAGCTGGTCTCTCTGCTGCTCAGGGACTGCTAACAGTAACATGGGGGAGACAGAACGCTGTTAATAACAATGCAAGTGGGGAGGATATAACTTTCAACTACAAAAACTCTAGGTTCTCAATACAGAAATACAAAACCTGCAATTCAGAGAACTTACAGAACACCTGAAATTGAATGCAAAACTGTGTGTGTGTGTGTGTGTGTGTGTGTGTGTGTGTGTGTGTGTGTGTGTGCAGGGAGAAAGAGCTTGAGAAAGAATGAGAATTTTGAAGGTAGCTTTATCAAATAAAAAAACCCAAGATGTGGGAAGTGGTTAAGAAACTACTATATCATAGAGAAATTAGCAAAGAATACCACCCTTTGAATGATGCTGAGTCGTGAGCAGGACCACAAGGAAAGGCAGAATTAACTGGCTATTTCAGGCCTTTCAACATTTTGGGGGGGATTATTGAACAAATATTTATTAAATTAAATAATTAAATAATTTTATTTATTAATTTATTAAATAAAGTAAATACCTTAGGAAACACACCACCAGAATTCTTAAGGATCTACACTTACAACCCAAGAAAAAAGCCATACTTGGCTATAAATACACACAGAACACTTATAATTAAAGTAATAGCTAGGCCTCTGTATATTGGATTTTAAATCCTCATATTCCCTGATCCACTGCACATCACAGCACACGCGCCTGGAGCTACACCCGAACACTTCTTGTGGTCTCTGGCATCAGGCACCAGGGGGTGCTATGGAGAGGCCGCAGTCAGCAAAAAAGAATCTTAAACTCAGAGCTAGATGGGGAATTCACTTACCTGGTTCTTGGAAAATCACAAACAGCATCATTATACCCAGGTGCCACAAGAAAAAAAAACAAAAACAAAAACAAAACAAAACTAATTTATCTGTTTTCTTAAGGAGGACAAGGAAAAGAATTTTGAACACCTATTGATTTTCATATTACGGTATTCAAAATAAATTCCATGAAAAGATAGATGTCATCTATGGTATTAAAGCTATGCTGAAACAGTTGGAAGAACTATGGTAAACTGAGTCAAAGAGTAAATATATATTCAAAATCCTCTTTTTACTGATGTGTGTTCTGCCTATGGACCTTAAATGAATCCCATTAACTCATCTAAAGACATCAGATATGAGCTAATGAATATCTCCATCCCTCAATTCTAGAGTAGCAGCCTCTATTAATAAATTGTACACCTATATTTCTGCCTTTAAGATAATATATAAATTTATTATAGCTTCACTTTATGCTGACTCCTCATAAAATAATCTTTTTCATTTATGGTAGAAAGCGGACAGTTGTTTACTTAAAAGAAGGTACAAAAAAAAAATACATTAAATGTCCCAAAAGCAACCAGGCTAGTCACTTTACGATCTCTCCCTTTAAGAAATATGAACCTGTTGTGACTTTCCAATCAAAACCTGTGGGTGTATCTTCAGTTTGCAAAATAAAATTCACATAGGTTCCTTCATACTTTTTGCTGAGTATTTCATTGTTTAATTTGTCACTGACCTTAGTCTCAGGCCAAGGGAGAATCCGTGCTGTTCTCAATTCTACATTTCCCCCTTCCATAGCTGTGACTTTCCTGTCTCAGGCTGCCTCCTTCCCGGACCCCAACCATTACGGAATGGAATGAAATGGTACAAAGTGTAATGAAATGAATAAATAGATGAATGATTGATGCAAACTTCCAGTAGCAAAAACAAAAACAAAACAAAACAAAAAGGAGGCAGTATGTAGATCTGTATATCACCATAGAAACTAAGTAGCAATCCCGGCAATTCTAAACATAGGAAGGAATTGTTTGGAAATTGAAATTCAGGGGGGAAAAAGTACTTCTACACAGGATTTTTTAAAGCAGTATTCTTAAAGAGGTAATACTGTAGAGTGATTAAGAGAGCAAGCTCTAGAATCAGCCTGCTTGGGTTCAGAAGCCCAACACCAGAATTTTATGGGTATAGCAAACTAGTTTAGTCTCATTTTAAAGACTTCATAACCTGCAAAACTAATGACTTGATACATAATCAACTTGAGCAAGTTAACCTCTCCATGCCACAATTTTAGTACAGTGAAATTAAATACGGTAACACATGGGAAGTTTTCAATATGTGTTGACATTTTAAAATTAATATTTGCTTAATTTCCAGTGATCATATCATAAGTTTAATATATTTATCATCCCATAAATTTTTAATTCACATGCATTCTCTGGATCTCCAAAAAAATACGAACAATGTTCAGTGATGACCTACATCAACTGTAGATCAGAGGTGATAGTCTAGAATTCAGTCCTTTTCAAGTTTAAGCAATTGTGAAAGAAGGGATCATTTGAAAGTGTAAGAAAATTTTAAAATAGTGAGCCTAGAATTTATATGTATTCTGTCTTGAATTGAATTCAATTGAATTATTCTGGTCATCTTTGCCTCAATCCAAAGCTTGGGTGAATATTCTCTTATTAATATGTCTTTTTAAAAAAATGGACTACAATGTAGATTTTGCATTTTTATAGCATTTGAGCATTTGAGTCGATAAAAGGAAATCAAATTGGCATTGAGGAAAAGTTACCTAAGTTGTATTTATTTTTTCTTTTCATTTTGAAATAATTATAGATTCCTAGAAATTTGCAAAGATAGAGGAGAAATCTCATGTGCCCATTACCCAATTTCCCCCAATGATTAATGCCTCACATACTTATGATACAACCTCAAAACCAGGAAACTGACATGAGTACAATGTGTGTGCATAGCTGCATAGCACTGTGTTGTATCACATCTGTACATTTGAGTAAGAACCAGTCCAATTAATACACAAAGGAATTCTAGCCAGAAGGATCTCCTTTTGCTACTCCTTTAAGAGTTATGTCTATATTCCTCCCCCAAACATCCATAACCACTAACAAGCACTAATTTTTTCTCCATCTCTATTATATTATTTCAAGAGATATAAAAATGGAATCATACAGTATGTGGCCTTTGAGTTTTTTTTTCATTAAGCTTAATGCCCTGGAGATCCATCTCGGCTGTGTGCATATCAATAATTGATTCCTTTTATTGGTGGGTAGTAGTTCATGGTGAGCTATGGCACAGTTGATTTAACCGGTCACCTACTGTAAGACATTCGGGTTATTTGTACTCTGGACTACTACAATAAAAGCTACTCAAAACAGTTGTTCCAAGGTTTTCATGTGATTATGTTTTCATTTCTGTGGGATAAATGCCCAGGCGTGTGATTAGTGAGTCATAGGTAAGTGTATGTTTAGTTTTTAGTTTTTTTTTTTTTTTTTTTTTTTATAAGAAACTGCCCCACAGGGCACCACAGTGGGTTAAGCCTCTGCCTTCAGCTCTGGTCATGATCCCAGGGTCCTGGGATGGAGTCCCGCATCAGGCTCTCTGATCAGCAGGAAGCCTGCTTCCTCCTCTCTCTCTGCCTCTCTGCCTACTTGTGATCTCTGTCAACTAAATAAATAAATTCTTAAAAAAAGAAAAGAAAAGAAAAGAAAAGAAAAAAGAAAAGAAAAGAAACTGCCCCACAGTTTCCTAATGTGACTGTTCCTATTTTCCATCCCTACCAACAATGTATGAGAGCCCCGGTTTCTCAGCATCTCCACCGCTGTTTGGTATCGTCACTATTTTCCATTCTAGTGGTTCTCGTGGGCATATATGATAGCTCACTTTGGTCTTATTTTGCAATTCCTTAATTGCTGGTCATATTGAACATCTTTTATTTGCCAGATGTATTTATTTGCCATCTATATCCTCTTTAAGGAAATATATCATGTATTTCACTCATTGGGGCTGGTTGTTTTTTAATACTGGGTTTTGCTGTTTCTTTATAATACTGTAGATAGGGATCTCTTGTCAGATATGCAGTGTGCACATGTTTTCTCCAGATCTGTGGCTTGTCTGTTCCTCTTACCACGATCTTACATAAAACAAAAGTTTTTAGGTTTGAAAAAGTCCAACTGATCAATTTTTCTTTTACAGATCATGCTTTTGTGTCATGTCTAATAGCTCTTTACAAAGACCTACTTCCCAAAGGTTTTCTCCTATTTTTTCTTCAAAAAGTTGTATAGTTTAATGATTTACATTGAAATATGTGATGAGTGTTGAACTGATTTTTGTATAAGGTGTGAGGCTAAAGTTAAAGTTCATAATTCTGCCTATATATATACAAATGTTCCAGCACCATTTGCTGAAAAGGCTGTTCTTTCTCCATCGAGTTGTTTTTACTCATCTGTCCAAAATCATTTGGGAGTAACTGTGTGGGGCTAGTTCCGAAGTTTCCATTCTGCTTCATTAACCTACATGCCTCTCTCTGGAAATAACACAGTATCTTGATTAAACTGTAGCTAAAAAAAAAAAGGATTCCTCCTACTTTCTTTTTTCAAAACTGTTTATCTCTTCTACTTTCTTTGCATTTTCATATAAATTTTAGAACAATTTTGTCTATGTCTATAAAAAGTCTTGCTGAGACTTTGATAGGAATTGGTTAACCCATAAACTGATTTGGGCTTCCATGTGTTTACTGGTCATATATAGAAATGCAATTGATTTCTTTTTTTTTTTTTTAAGATTTTATTTATTTATTTGACAGAGAGATCACAAGCAGGCAGAGAGGCAGGCAGAGAGAGAGGAGGAAGCAGGCTCCCCTAGAGAGCAGAGAGCCCGATGCGGGGCTCGATCCCAGGACCCTGAGATCATGACCTGAGCCGAAGGCAGCGGCTTAACCCACTGAGCCACCCAGGCGCCCTTACAATTGATTTCTGTATGAAATTAGCTTCTTTGTTCCAGGAGGGTTTTGGGGGGGTTTTGTTTTGGTTTGGTTTGTTTTTGGTTTTTGGAGGGGTTGGTTTTGTTTGTTTGTTTTGTAGTGTTCTTAGATTTTTCTGTTTAGACCACTGTGTCATCTACAACCTGGCAGAGTTTTATTTATTCCTTTCTTATCAATATGTGTTTTGATTGACCTTATTGCAAGAATTTTCAGTACTATGTTTAATAGGAGGGATAAAGGAAGATATTCTTGTCATGTTTTTGACCATAATGGAAAGCATTCAGTCTTTTACTGCTTAATATGATGCTATTGTTTTATGGATGTTCTTTTTCAGGTAAAGAAGTGCCTCTCTATTTCTAGTTTTCTGAGATTAAATATAGATACAGATACAGATACAGATATAGATATAGATAAATATGTGGGTGTATATATAAAATAAATGTTTTTTCTGAAAAAAGTTAAATCCTCTGATTTTTATTCTTTATCCTTTTTATATAATCAAGTACATCAACTGATTTTTGGAAAATGAATGAGCCTTCCATCATTGGAATAAACTTCACTTGGCTATGGTATTATATTCTTTTCATATTCCATTTGCAAAGTATTTTACTAAGGATTTTTGTGTCTGTGATCATGAAAAATATTAGTCTATAGTTTTCTCTCTCTTTTTTTTTGGTACTATTTTTGTTTGGTTTAGTACAAGGGTAACGCAAGCCTCTAAAATGAATTGGGAAGTGTTCATTCCTCTTCTATTGTCTGGAAAAGATTGGTGTTAATTATTCTTTAACCATTTGGTAGAATTCTCCAGTGAAGCCATCTGGGCCTAGAGATTTCTGTGGGGGAAGAAGTCCTTAAGTTACTCATTTTATTTCCTTAATAATTGTGGAACTATTCATATTATCAATTTAATATTGAATGGGTTAAGATAGTTTGTGATTTTTAGGAATTCATCCACTTTATTTAAGTTGTCAAATTTATATGTGTAGAATTATTCTTAGTATTCCTTTATTGTCATTTTGATATCTACAA